GCTGTATGATTAAACCACTGCAGCCATAGTCAAATGCAAACAGTTGCTTCAGAATTAAAGGAAAAGGAATTTCTCAACAGATAGCACTAATTTTGGGGTGGGACAAAGACAACAAGGGCCCCAGAGCTAAAGAGAGAAAGCAAGGGGCTAAGTCTCTCACGGAGGCCTTTGCCCCATGCCTTTCGTGATTCCAGCTCTCGCTCAATGAATGTGGTCTTGGGGGTAGAATCTAACTGGATGTTCCAAGAGGTGGGAGGCGCTTGGTCACACTTTCAAGGGGTCACCACTACTCCTTGAAAACTTTTTAATTTGCCTTTTTGAGCCAAGGTTTTGCTAAGTCACTAAATTAACCAGGCCAAGCACGGCACATCGAGGATAGAACCCCAGTCGCTGGGCCTGCCTAAGCAGGTGCTTTAGTCTGCTGAGCTATCTGGCCAGCTCTAAAAAAGCTATTTTAGACTATGACACCGGGTCTTATGATTCTAAATAAAATGTTTTATCTAGTTATTAGTGCTAGGAATTGAACTCAGGGTCTTTCTCATACATGCTAAGCACATACTTTTCCATTCAGCTATATACCTTTAGTTCCTACATAAATTATTTTGAAGAAAAATAAACTTTTATTTTTCTTAAAGGCTTACCTGAAATTTTTTCTTCAAGGCCCGGGTCATTACAGGGGTAAGCCCGGTTCCTGTTTCCATATTTTCTTTATTGATCAGAGGAGTTCCCCCTGGGCTTCTGGAAAGATATTAAAAACATTAGGGGTTGTGTTTTTTGTCTACTTTTCAGATGGATTTGGAAAACATACAATAAGAGACCATATTACCTTTCCACATTGACTTTTCTAAGAAGTTTCCGCAGATCTAGCTGGCTTTTACTTGGAGTACTAATAAATAAAGGCATACAAATTAGAACTTAATGCATTTTATCACTTCTCCCAAAACAAAGTGGTCATTACAATAGGCGACTTTCAAAATATAATTCTGGGGTTTTGTTTGTTTGTTTGTTTGTTTGTTTTTTGAGACAGGGTCTCACTATGTAATTCAGAATGACCTTGAACTCACTTTGTAGCCTGGGCTGGCCTTGAACTTGCA